TGCGGAACCCAACGTGTATACGCTAGTTTGTAGTTCAAATAATTGTGCAGATAATAACTGACTGTTGTACGTGGTATCTTTGTCATCTCCTCTATCCTTCTGAGTGATGCTCTTGGGTCTTCATCTAGCGCTTGAAGAATTGCTTTGATTTTTCTTTGATCCGGCGATTTTTTGTCAATTTTTATGATGGGCGCCTTTTTGTTCATGAAGTGATACATCCTAACATGATACGTTACAGTGGAATAGCTAGGAGCATCCATACCGAAGCATTTTACCAATGTCTCGTAGATTTTTTTACAGTCTTTGCATTTTTTTGCAAGAGCGAGGATGTTTTCTTTATGATTCATTAAAAAAATGAAAAAAATCCCGCCAAAATTTCCCGCGAAACCGCCTCTTGTCTCAAAATTCATTTTATATCCCGGCATGGCGCCAAAATACAACATACTCATCATATACATATATTCATATTTTTTATTATATATTTATAATCAGCATATATCTCCTTTAATAGTCTCATATAGAGCGCTGTGCTAAACGCACCTTTGGACACCCTATATCTCAATATAATAATGCAACTGCAATATTCACTAATGATTGCCTCGAGAGTATGCATTCAGAATTTTCTTCGTTAAAACATCCAAACATTTATGAAGCTATTAAGAAGATATCTCAAATCCAATTAGATAAATATAACGCCATCAAAAATAACCAGAAGATCGAGCGCCATATAAAAACCGTTATCACTGATAGCTACAAAAATTATATTCTTGACTGCTTTCAAAAAGAACTTGAGAAAACAATTTTTTCTATCAAACAATACAACGTAAGTGATCTTTCTTTGGCTCAGAACGAGATTTCTCCATATGGTTCCATAGAATCGAGTTCATTGTTCGAAAATATTCCAGTTCATGATGCAGATATACTCAAATCGATCGATCTAACAGATAAAGATACAATGATCACTAAGTTTATTAATGAAAAAAGAGAAAAAATTATGGCATTATTTAATGAAACATTAAATCATCCAGATTTTAATTCATCCACTCCAATTCAAACTAATTTTGAGCAAGCCGATACAAATCAAGGTTCAGATGCTCCAATTCGCTCCGAAAATTCAAATATTGCAGACTCTACAGATTTAGAACCAGAAAATCAAAACCATCCTTCTACAAATCAAATGTCTAGTAATCTAGAACATAAGCTGGACCTTCTTGATCATATTGAAAAACAATTATCGAAAATGCGCTCGTTATTGGGAATTCTTCCTACTACAAATGCTATTGTTGGGCCGTCAAAACAAGTTTCAGTTAATAGCAAGCAAAATTCTGAAAAAAATAAGAAAAAATCTTCCATAACAACAAATCAAACAATAAAAAACAAAATTCATCCGACAATCCTCCTAAACGTAAAGCTCCTATTTCGGAAAGGATTCTCAGCGATAATAACTTATATTTTCAAGTTCATCGAAGAGATCGAAAAGCAAACGTTCCACATCTACAGAGAAAAAGAATTGATATATGAAGTCTAATTCCTTTTATAACTACTATATTTTTATTCTTATGACTAAAAAATAATATATTATTTAAGGGTGCACCCGTATGTACGTTTATTTGAGAGGAGGAGGATTACCCTCTCAATTTTGAGGGATTCGTTAGTTTATTTTCTCGATGAATATGCAATAAAATTTGATTTTTACCTTATCAATATACTTCATATAATATACACATGTTCATGTAAAAACTTTTTTCCAAAATCCTCAGGAATTAAGGAATTTTTGAATTTTAAGAATTTTTTTCGAATTTTTTCGAAAAAAAAATATTTTCAGAACAGCCTTAACGGCTAAGATTTAGGAACAATGTTAAGTATCAAAAAGAAAGGAGGTCTGATATAGACAACATATATCGTTGAAGGTTGAAAAAATCTCTAATATTTGAGCCCAAAATTTCAAATTTTAATTTTTTGAAAAAAGAGGCCACCCGTATGTACGTTTATTTGAGAGGAGGAGGATTATATTTTTGAAAGGGTGAAACATTATGAATATGTTAATTATATAATAATATGTATTATTATAAAAAAAAATAAAGCACGTTAAAATTTTTCTTTCTTGATTTTTTACAAAATCTACTTAGAATTATGCAAAATATGACTAAATAATTATAAATTTCAAGTTAAATTTTAATTTTGATAAATAATTTAAATTTCAAAATATCAAGTTCAGTTCGACTATGTATGTAGTAATTCCTCAATAAAGTGCCAAAACCCTATTAAAATATATGAACATTTTCAACATTTTAATGTTTTTATTTAAAAATTTGATGGAATATGAGCTTCAAACAATTATTATGTAAATAAAAATAATTAAATATATGTATTTATTCGTATTACAACCGTAGTAAGTCGATTCTTCCTTTCTTCTACTGAGGTTTGAATTTGATTTCGAATTGTAAAGAGATTCAAAGGGAAAATACTAGCGGATAAAAACTACCTCCATGAAAGGGTCATAATGGAGTCAAGTTGTATTTTTTGATATTTTTTGCTTTTCGAGCCTAAATAGGTAGCCAAGATAATGCCTAAAAATAAGGTTCTAAATTCTGAAGTTTACATGATCCTCTCGTGTGCACCCTTAAGGGAGGCTTCCGACCAGAAAGCCCTCTCAATTTTTTGTGATGTTTACACCAAAAGTGAGATTCGTTAAGCGTTTTTCTCGTTGAATATTGAGTTTCCCGGATTTTAAGTTATTCATAAAGCTTCTCTATATTATACCCTATCTACTGATATGATTATTTTTGAAAAATCTCTTAAATCGACCTGCATTGAATTTTTTAGGGAAAATTCGAAATTTTATAGGCGTTTTCTGTAACGTTTTTTTACGGAATAAAATCCGAAAAATAATTTTTTGAAGAATCATTTGGGTAGAATACTTATCGAAAATTATATTTATTATAATTTTGGTCGATAAAAATAAGCGGATTCAAAACTGGCAAAAACCCTTTCGGCAATTTGTGGACGATTCCGAACCCCCTCATTTTTGAAATTTAATAAGAAAAATAGAATCTTTATTAAATATAGATTTTAAAAAACTTGGTTATAAATTACGAAATTTTCTCACTTGGGCTAAAAAGTGACAATTTGGTCGGAAGCCACCCTTAACAATTTTCATTTTTTTCTTTTAACAATTTCGTTTTATTTCCATTTATTGTTAAATGATTTTTAGCATACACCTTTCTTTGTTCATCTTCTAAATACAATTTATTTTTTCTTAGATATAATTCTATTCATTCAATTCGATCGTCATTTTTCAGTACATGATCGTAATTTTCAATTATTGATCGCGATTTTACTTCAGGGTTTGTTCGCAATATTGCTTATCAAAATTATATCTCTATTCTCTCATTTCTGTTTAGTCAATATCATTACACTCCTATTGTCTAATAACATGCTATTAATTTTCTTAAAATTAAAAAAAATATCAACTTTTAAAAACAGAAACTTAACATCCTTAGGTCAATGGATTTTGATGTGAGATACATTTAATCTGTTTTTCTTTTTTTATTTTAAATAATTGAATATTTATAGTTGTTATGGGTCTTACATCATGTAAAACGAGTTTTCTTAAAGTAAATTTACTTTTTCTTCAATCTTTCTTACATATTTATTAAAAAAAAATTATCCAAAAAAAGATGTTTTAGAATGAAAAAAATAGAAAAATCTTCATTTATAGTCTTTCTTGAATGTATACGTTTTGAATTTTTTCTTTTTTAAAAAATTCAATTTCTAGAAAAATCGAGAAAAAATCATTTTCTTCTATTTTTTAGGACGCCATACCATTGAAATCTCCTCTCAGGACGCCATAAACTATTCAATTATGGTGTAAACTTCTCAAAAATTGAATAGTTTACATCAGGACGCCTTAGGACGCCAACCCTTTACGCGCCCGAAATATTGCATTTTAAAGCTCCAATTAATTCATTAATTGAGATTTATTGAATTACTATTTTAATAATTCATTGTACTTACGAATCAAAATCTTGCTTCTAATCAAAAGACCTTTTTCATAATATTATCAATATTTTCTTTTACAGCCTTTTATAAATCACGATGAGATATTAAGTGATGTGTTTCAAGATTTGTATTTGTTTGCATTGTTGTTGATTCCATCAGTATATTCCTCTGTTGTTAGAATGGCAGTATTGAACCTCTGATGATTTCGCTGGAAGAAGCTGCAAATTAATGATATGTAATACACAAACATTCAAAATGAATGCAAACCTTTATTCAAATATCATTAAAATATGAAAAATTGAGATTTAAGATTATTATACCAACTATCTTTGATTTTATCACAAGAGATATATATTACCAATATCAATGTCATTCAGAGGTTCCTTGAGAGATTTCAAGGATATTTATATAGAAAATTTTCCTGATCAGAGTCTAATAGTAATGTTGTAATGTTGTATGCAATCCTACAGATCACACACAAGAATCAAAAGATATTTCTTTAAATATTAATTTATTGCAATGTTAATTTATTGAAAAAATTTTGATTCTTTTAACAAATATGATTTTTTTATATTTAATTAAGCTATCTAAAACTATAAGATACAAGCATATAAGAAAATTTATAAAACAAATAGAATTAAGTCAATAAATTGAAAATCTTAAAAATATGATCAAAAATTTAAATGTTCAACATGATTTAGTAGTTTACTTTTATATGACAATATGAATGATAGCTTTATTAATGAAAATTAAAACAATAGTAAATCGGAAATCTATATTATTAAAAATTGGACTGTTTTGGCTGGAATGATGTCTTCCATACTGGACATAATTCATGCAATTGTGTTTCTGGTGTTATTTTGCTAATATTTTCGACATTTCTAGATAATGTCTCTAGAGTGTATTCCTGCTTGCATTTCGGATTTGCCTAGACAAATTCAGTAAATGACGATATCTCATATTTAGCCGAGCAGAAGGATTTTTGACTTTCTTTTTCGATGTCAATAATCCATTGGAAGAAAGCTTTTGAGAACTTTGCTTCATTTAACCAGAATAATAATCAATCAATCAGCATTACAATTAACAATCATGAATATTCTTCAACAATTTTCTTTCTTTCAGCAATCAGCAACAAACTGAAGAATGATTTAAATGTTGAAACCATTCCCACTAATTATACCTTTACATGTACCATCAGTGATGAGAATACATATAAAATTCTAGAAGATCTTTTTAAAGGCAAGTTGATAAACAAAGTTTTGGAAGACAGTATTATTACTGATTTATTTGAAGTTGCAGTTGCAATTGAATGTCCAGATTTAATAGATTATTATTATGAAAATTTTCAACTTTCTCAGTACACTTTAAAAAACTTTGATAAGAACATCACTTATTTCAAGCACTTTGAATTGAAAGATGAATTTATTACATTTGTATCACAAAATATAAATAATATTGGAATTCCAACTTTAATTCAATGTTGCAGTAGTTTGGGATACAATTTTGCAGAGTTAATTATTAAATCGTGTATCAGCCAATCAATAGATTGCAATGATTTTGTTATTTCATTAGTTGAAAATAGTTTATCTTATTTCAATTTAATTCTTTTATTAGATGAGTCAAAATTAAATGAAGAAGCGAAAATCAAAATAATTTCATTCTATTTTAATTCTCTGAACAAAGATGAAGTTAAAAATGAATCAATCATTGCATATATCAACTCTTTCCTCCCATCTTTGACAAATCCAAGAATTGAAAATGAAAAGTTGAGAAAAGAATCTGAAATAACTAAAGAAGAAAATGAGAAATTACGGAAAGAATCAGAAACAACTAAACAAGAAAATGATGTAATAAGAAAAGAATCTGAAATAAATAAAATTGAAATTGACAAACTAAAACAGGAAATAGAAATTCTCAAACGCGAAATTGAGAAATATAATCAAGATCCAAACTCATATAAAATTGAAAATGACAAACTAAGAAAAGAATTAGATATTGCTAAAAGAGAAATTGCAGATTATAAAAAAGATCCGAACGAATATAAGGAAGAAAATGAAAAAGTGAGAAAAGAATTAGAAACAATTAGGCAAGAAAATGAGAAACTAAGAAAAGCGATTTATAGTTCACAACAAGAGATCGCAATATTATCAAAAGAAGCAGAAAGTAAAAGTCGAACAATTGCGGGCATCTTAAGAAATCTTGAAGATCCTAATATGGACGATGAACAAAAATCCGAGCCAGTTCATGTTCATAAACCGGTTAATTGCTTTCCTCCAAAACATCAAAATGGTTCAAATCCTTTTTGTAAAAGACCTTTTGGTTCAAACACTTTTAGAGGTTCAAATGACCCTTTTTATTAAATAAAATCCCAATATTTGAAATTAGCTTTGATTTATCGATCTCTCTAAAATAATATATTTGAAACTTTAAGTTCATTTCAATTATGTTGTTTAAAATTGATTTTTAATGACGCCTTGCGTCTGCTGTCTGAAATTTGGATTAAAATCATAACTGTGTGGTATACGCACTTTTAAAACTGTTACACGTGAGATATAATATGTATGTGAAGGCATCAGTATATAGCAGAATCTTTTGATATAATCGAACTTGTGTTAATATTCATGCCGTACCAAAAGATGACTTGTTTCAAAAATTGAAGGAAGTAACTAATCTTTTCAAAACGATTGAGAGATGAAGAACTACACTGAAAATGAAAATTATTAAGACCAAGAAAAGATATAAATAATTCGAAATAATGATTAATCTTTGTATTTTTTATGGAAATGTCTTCTGTTTGGAATTTTCTTTAGATATTTGAGAATCCTCCTAGAGTATTTATTAAATATATGCATTGTATGCTATCCAAATATTCTTATTTGATGATTCAATTCAAAACGTCAAAAAATACACGCTTTTTTACATATCAACATACAACCATATAGATAAAAAGTCATGCTATAGTTCGATGAGAAAAAAAAATCCGAAAAGTGAGTAGTTTTTTTTGTTCATTGGAAAATGACGAGAGAGGGTCAAAGTTGCTATTTGTCACTTTTCCACAAGAATATAATGGGGAAAAAGTTATCATATAGTTGATCTCATTCACTGAGGTGAGAGATGCATGTAGTGTAATGTGATAAACATTGTGATTGCTGCTCTAAGTCCTAGGTTCGAGACACATTGGCTTCATTTTTCTCTTTTTTATTGACGTAAACTATTCAATTTTTGTGTTCTCCATTCAAATTTCAGAATTTTTTTTGCAGATTTCACGCTACATTCGAAGTTACCTTTTGTAACAACCACCACTGCCTACGAAAGACGAAAGTGTGTCACGATTTCACCCGGAAATCCGACGGTTGTTTAAGAGTATGCACTTTTGTCACCTACTCGGAAAATGACTAAGTTCACCTGCATGAAACAGTTCGAAATCGAAAATCTCGAAGTTCCAGGAGCTCAAATTATCAAATCACCAGTCTATGGCGATATCCGTGGCAACCTTTACGAATCATTCCACATTCTTAAAGTAGATTACACAACATCCATTGATGAAATCAACGGCATCTATCCAGGCAAAAATACACTTTACGGCCCAGTTGCCCACAAGGGCGAAGAGCTCCTCTATCTCATTCGTGGCAAACTCTTGGTTTATCTTGTTGACTTCAACGATCATTCCAAGCGTGCCCGCATTGAAGTTGAGCCAGGCATGATTATTCGCATCCCATGCATGTGCATTCATGCATTTTACAGCCTCGATGAAACAACAATCTTCGATTTAGTCAAAACAACATCACACGTCGAAGAATCTCACTTCAAACCAGAAGAACTTGGTCTTGAATTCCCAGGCCCAGTTGTTCAGGCCCCACATATCGATAACAAGCCACTTTACGTTGATTACGCAATCATGGGCGCCAATGGTATGATTGGCTCAGCCTTTGTTCGCGAAATCGAAGCTCGTGGACAGACATGGGTCCAACTTCGCTCTCGCTTGAACCAACAGGAAGGTTTAGAGAATGAATTACGTCATATCATGCCAAAGGTCTCCGTAATCATTGCCGCCGGTGTCGGAACACGTCCAAACACCAAGTGGTGCGAGGATCACCACATAGAAACCATCGATGCCAACGTTACAGCCCAATTAGCCGCAGTCAGAATCTGCAAGAAGATTGGCTTGCATTGCACAATCATTGGAACCTCTGGATTCTACCATTCCGAGTCCGAAACATCCAAGGGATTCGTAGAAACCGATGAACCAAATCATGGCTGCAATTATTACTACCAGATGAGAGTTCTCGAGGAGAAACTTCTCAAAGATACAGGTCTTGAGAACCATTGCTTGAATCTCAGAGCTCTCTTCCCATTCGATCACAAGTTGACAACATCATCTCTCGTTGGAAAGCTTCTCCGCTTCAAAGTTATCAACAGCATCAAGACATCTGTTACAGTGCTTCCAGATCTCGTTCCATTGGCCCTTGAAATGATGGAAAAGAAGATCAACGGCCCAATTAACTGGAACTGCCGCGGAACACTCTCAAACGGCGACATCCTCCGCATATACAAGGAAGTTGTTGACCCATCATTCACTTTCAACGAACAGATCCTTTCCCATGAACAATCAAAGGCAAACGGAAACTCCGCTGCAAATCTCGAACCAAAGAGACTCATAGAAATATTCGGTGACAGAGTACCAGAAGTTCACGATGCTGTAAAGCATGTAATGGAACTCATCAAGATGGAGAAACCAGAATAAATGACTTTTATAATATAATTTTATTTATTTATTTATTTATGAAGTTCTTCTACCATTTGTAATAAGATGCATTGTTGCTTCTGTATTATTTTTATCTACTGCACAATGAAGAGAGATCCTCCGAACATTATCATTTGTATTATTATCGCATACGAAATATGATACTATATTCTTACCGGCAATATAATGAAGAACATACATTCCAAAATTTTCTTAACAATTATAATTTGATGCACAACGAAGAGCCGTTTCTCAATTTTCATCCTTTTTCATTGATATTTACAGAGACATCACTAAAGAAAAATGTATGATTATATTAAATTATATCATCATTTGGGGAATAGAATCAGTATAATCTTTTCCTCCTGCTCACATATTGCATTTCTATCTCCATCATATTCTTCTGTTTTGTTTTAGAAGAAATGTAACGATATTCGAATAAACCAGAAGAATTTTGTAATAATGATATATTGATTAAAATTGATATTTATTTCATCAACAAAAACAAATATTAAATTAAATATAAATATAAAAATACATACAAACATTTCAAATAATTAAGTTGAATTCGTAAATGAGACCAAAGCAACTCTGAATCTCTTTATCAATGGGAAATTGCCTTCGCCAAGGACGAGGTCAACGACTTCATTAGTTTTCAGGTATCCGCCAATGAAGGACGCGAAAGAAAAAACTTGTGGGTTTCCAGACAACGCGATTGCGAACTTTAGCTTCTCGTTGTCGTATCTGGACATGATTCTTAACGCGTACATAGCATTTGCGAGGTTTTTACTCGGTTTCTGATAAACCGAAATCTCCTGAAATGCTTTTGCAGCTTTTGCTATTATTTCCATTCCGTACGGTCCCAATTCGGATGTACATTGTCTGTTCTCCTGGCAGTACTTCGCAAAAGTGAAAGATCTGTTGTTTGTGTTCGGCATAAGTTGGAATCCGAACTTGAAATCAATCCTATCGAGGAGATCGAGGAAGAAATGATGTCTCAGGAGGAGGCCGTTTGAGTCTGGAAGGTTAAGAGATTGGACTCTGTTTTTGACATTTTCAATTAATTTGGAATAAGAAGACATTGGCGTGAAAATGTTCTCATCGTTGTAGAGGAAGTCCGTTGGATACTTCTCTATCAAAGCTGGAAGAACTTTCTCTTTAATAAATGCCGATGATAAAGATTTCTTCTGGCAAAAGCTCTTTTCAAGCGAATCCCCCATGAAATAAAGTGCTGTCGATGCTGAAGAGCCAAGATCTTTCATGGTTTTGCAGTTCTTCAATGCATTCATAATCGCATCGTTGAAATTTTGGATTTTTCTCGAATTAATGTCAATTCTCAGCTGTTGCAACGGCGTAGTGTATGATGATGTAAGCTGAGTGACCATTTTCGAGAGATCTTCCGAATTATTAAACGGAAGTTTTGACAAATCCAAAGAGTTTACGATGTCAACGAACTCGTCGAAGCCGAATGTCTTCAGAATCTCCAGGGAATCAGTGATGGTTTCCGCTTTCCACGGTCTTATTAAGAGATATTGGGAATCGTCAGCGATTGTTGGGGATTCGAGGCCGGCGAATGCATCAGAGAGAGGTCCTAAGAGTGGTCCTGACGCAACAGTGGTAAATTTCTGGATTGTTGAGAAAAGTAAAGTTAAATCTCGAGGAGCAACGATAATTGAACGCTCTGCTATCTCTGCGGCTTCTGATATGCCGTCAGAGATGATGTTTTCACCGGGAGTGATGCAAAACTTCTCAATCATCTTGTCAATTAAATCAAATTTCTCTGCAGCCATTTTATGAATGCAAGTCTGTATATTTAATGCAAGAGTGACATTGGTTACAAGATGGAAACGATGTATGAACTTGCAAATAATGGTATCGAGGATGAATTTTCGCCAGAAAATTCTATCTCCGCTTTCGAAGGTCCAGAGAGCTGTAATAAGCTGCCTTGTAGCTGTAGGAAGAAGAGGAGCACATTCCATCATCCTATTAAAACAATTTATGCAAAATTCTGAAGTTTTCATCCAATATTGAGTTCTCTCAACTCCGCCTTCTTTTGTTGGCATGTATTTGTACTGCTTTTCGATTACATCGGTTGTAAAGATCTCTAATAATGGTTGAATTGAGTTTTCGTAAAATTTAATTGGATTTGTAGCCAAAAAGATTGAAAATACGAAATCCATTATGAAAAAGTTGTTCTCTTTGATGCTCTTTCCTTGTACATAGAAATGAAGCTTTAATATGTCTAAAACAACTTCAATTGAATTTGATCTATCTGTTTTCGTTAAGAAAAAGCCGTAAATTGCTGGAAATGTACTGTATATGAAATAGAATATATCATCCTTTGATAGAATTGAGTTCTGATGCGAAGAACAATAGCTAAATACGTAATAAAGAATTTGAGCGAAAATGGTTGGATGATACGTGGAGTAGTATATCAGATAAGCAAAGCGGTCTTTGTGATTTGGTCTTTTGAAGACCTTTAGTGATTGTGTGATTGACATCGGTTTAATATCCCTTAATGGTATGCACATTTCTTCCAACGTGAATATACTTCGAGTCATGGACATGTAGTGAAGGCGACACATTGAAAATAAGGAAATTGACAGCTCAGTTGAACGATCTTTGAGTTCGGCCAAAGATTTGGAGTTAATGGACTTCAAGGGGGAAATTAAGCTTTTTTCATTGTTGAATTGCCGAACATAACTTACCACATCATCATGGAATTTCGATTCGGACATATATTTAATTTCTGAGATTGTAAAAAGTGTCATTCAAATAAAAGATTTCATATTTAACAAGACTGTATGCCTAGTATTATTATCATCTTTTTCAGAAAAAGGTTTTCAATTTTCATAGCTTTATTATGTCAGAATTATCTGAAACTTTACATAACATTTTTGGAAAACAAACCTTTGGATTTAGAGTTAAGCTCCTGGAAATGTGTGAAATATAATTATGCTCATTTTTCTATAATGTTATCCAAAGATATTTTATATGATATTTTTTCGTCTTTATCTGGATGCAAGATTCCATCTCAATCATCAGAACAAATACTTCACTCAATCGAGGATCAATATAAATATTTAGAAATCATTCACAAAGAAAATTCTGTTAATGAAATCGTAGAAAATTACTCATTTTTTCAAAACTGCGATGGATTCTTTAATAGAATCTCTTCGTTATGCTATAACTTAATAGATTCTGAGCACTTATCATCAAAAATTATTGGAATTACATCACTTACTAAATTATTTCTTCAAGTCCCAATTCAACTTGCATCTTTCAATGGATTTATGAATAAAATCATTAGCACACTCAAAGATAAGTCAATGCCTCTTCATTTAAGAATAATTGCTTCAAATTGTTTGTTTGAAATACAAAAAGCACATCCCGAACTAATGAAAATAAAAGATAATGAGCTATTTCAGATAGCTAATGACATCCCAACTCAAACTTTTATTCCGCCAATTCTTCAATCGAATAACCCTGATAATCCAATGCTCGACTCATTTGTAAATCAAAGATTTTACGCATTGAATCCTTTTGAGAAACTTGTTTTTACTCCAAAAATCTTTTATCCAGAAAATACAATTCCAAATGATCCGATTCAATTAAATAATTTTCTAGAGCACAAATCAATAAATAAATCTCAAGCCTTGTCGATTTTGGAGAATCCAATGTCATCATTTGGTCTTTCTACTGTAATCGAAAGATCTTCCCAAGAATTCAACTTTTCTGCTGAAGAACTCATCCATGAAACTGATTCTGTATCAACTATTTCCCTTAAAAGCCAACTTTTACCTCCAACAATTGATACAATTCTTGGATCTCAAATTCTTTCCAATTTCTCAAGCCATTCATCCGAATCCACACTTGTTAAATCAATATTTAACTTATCACTCCGATTCCCTCCTCAAGATGTTGTTTCTTTTTTCCAAAAATTTTATCCAAGTTCTCAAGCTCTTGATGCGCATTGGTATAACTTATTCAAGCATCAAAATGAAGCTACCAAAAATACTTTGATCTGCTTTATGGCCCAATATCCTTCGAGAAAAGCATTTATTAAAGCATCCATTAAATTTGAGCCATTTTATTCAGTTCCTGCTATTTATAACATCGACAAAGAAGATAATGATATGTGTAAATTACTTTCTACTCCATTAAAAGAAGGGAAAGCCTTGGCTTCAATATTTGCAAAAGAAAAATTGTCAAATATGCCAGAAGTCAAAGATATCAATGAAAAAATTGAACCAAAAGATATTGAATTCGTTCCTGATATGTTTACAATTCAAAATAACGAGATTCACGTTTATAATCAATATTCTGCTTTAGTTGTCTTGACAATTGCTGCAAAACGGAAACTCAAAGAGCCCATTGTTGGCATTACTGTCACTGCTTCATGTCCAGAGTGTTTCCACGCTGATGGATCGAGAACTATTCCGATTTCGGACTTTTCTATGCCAGAAGAAGTCGCTATCGAAATGATTGCCAAGAAAGCAGCAAATACACGAATGAATTTCCGTGTTGTTTTCTCAACTCTTTCTGGAGAAACAAAATACACAATTATTGAACCTATAAATATTCAAATGTTCCAGCTTTTCTCTTCTAGCGACGCAGATTTCTTAATGGCGTGTGCAGGAACTCAAGAAAGTCGCTTATTTTTGCAAATTAAAATGAATGATTTGGAAAACCTTCTAAGACAAACGGTTTTCGGAGTTTCTTTAGTTAATGAAGGTAGAGAAATGCACTGCGTTGTTACAACTCCTGATGGACAGCTTATTGGATTAAGATTCATTCAGAATGGAAATGGAATAACAGTTGTGATGAAAGCAAATGATATTTCGTATGTTGCCTCTATTGATAGCTTCTTAAGAATTATTCATAATATTGTTAATAAAAATTAAGAAATATTGTTTTAATCTTACTATTTTCTCCCTATATTTAATATATGCTTAACATAAAAATGATAATTGTTACTGAATTAAAGGTAGCATTAAAGAATTCATTTGAAATATGCGATATCAGTAACTTTTATTAAAAAATAATGTGTTTTTATTTGAAGTTTCTAATTGTAATATGATAGAGATGTATGTTGCAAAGTTTAAAGAATCTCATGTTACAAAAAATCGTTTCTGTTTTTTTCTGCAAAAAAGTGACGTTCTTATTAACGTATAAAATTTAGAATTTTTTTTAGATATATGGATTTCAAGTGGCTTAATGATCTTTCCACTGAATTTGAGGGCGTTGGCATTGCCCCAACTAAAGCCGAAATCGTTGCAATGAAGGCATCTGTTTCTATGCTCTGTGAAAAAGCAAATCATGATACCGTTCATTTCTGGGGCAAAGTCAAGGGAACAGAGCGCAATTATCTCATCATTGTTTGTTATACAGGCGGACTTCTTGGAAAACGTACAGCTTATGCTTCTCTCGATGGCGTTTGCTGGTTCGGTCTTCCACTCGTTACAGACAAACTTATTTCTCATGTAACAAACATACGTGGACCGCTTAAAGGCCAGCCACTTTTAAAGACAACAGTCCGTCATCCAAGGAAAACAGAGGCATTTAAAGATCTTCAGCCTTTAGTTCCTCCAAAGCCACGTCAAGAAGAAGAGGAAGAGGAAGAAGAACAGAAAGAAGAGGAGCCAGAAAATGAAGAAGAAGAAAAGGAGGAGGAAGAAGAATTACCAGAATACGAAGATGCTCAGATCGCAGAAGACCAGCGTCTTGCTGTTCTTGTATATCTTATTGACAAGCGCGGTCTTATCTTCCCACAAGATGCTCTTCTTTGGAAATCTACAAAAGAAGTTAAGTCCAATCCATTATTCAAGGGCGTTGTTCCCGATTCAACTCTTTTCGACTTTTGTCGCCTTGATAAGGATATTCGTGGCGAATCTCAAAGAGCTAACGGAATTATAGATACAATGCCTCCATTATCAGAAGACCTTCCACCTAGTGGATGGAAGATATCTCAGGATCCACACACTGGAACTGTTAGAATTAATTCAAAAGTTTGGCCAGGCCTTGTATTTATCTGCAAAGGAAGCAGATGGGGCACTGTTTATCTTGGTGATGGCCAACGTAATACTGACTACTTATTCGCTGCAGAGTAACGTAAAATATCTTGTTTACTCAAAAATCGTAAAATACAAAAATAATTTATTATTAGCTTAATATGCTATGAATACACTGTTTACATGCAATTGAAATATGCACATATTCGGTAAATTAAAAAAAATATAAAATGCAATCTGAAATAATATTCCATAGAACATGGTTTTAATGAGCAGATTGTTTACAAAATATATAATGAGATGCTCCATTTGTTATATCACTAAGTTAAAACGAAACTTTATAGAAATCTTTATAGTACCGAAGATTTATAGAAATATAAAAAAAAAAAAAAAAAAGGTAGTGGGGCCTCCAGGCACTTCGTGCCCTCTAGCCCTGAAGATGTTTAGTATAACTTTGTCCGGACAAGTAAGGGTCTATCGTCGCTACAGGAAAAGTTACGGGCGTTCCAAGGAAGTATACTTTGAGAAGACTTTCCCCCTTATAGAATGAGATAGGACGGTTATTTTACAAAACTGACAACACTTTGACCGAGTAGTTTTTTGTGCTGAACAAAAAGTGTCATATAAACATCTGTTAAAAACCGTTTTTTACTTCACTTAAAATGCCACGTAAGCTACGTAAGAATATACGTAAGAGGAAGAGAGCATTGAAACATCCCATAGTAAAACTGACACCACAACAACAGTTGCAACAACAAATTATATGACCCCACTATGTTGCAACAAATGTCAAGCAACCCTATGCTTTTAAAACCGAGTTATTGGTGCACAGAGTGGAGGTTTAAGAGCGGCACTTTTTAGCGAAAATGGCAGGCTATGGTGGAGCTGCAGACGGAACAGCTTATAACCCTCAAAGTCAAATGAATTTGAGTTCACTCAAAAATCAAATAACAGATGTCAAAAAGTCAAACATAGACATACAGAAACAAATAAGTGAAAACGAAAAGAAACTAGAATATGACAGACACACAAAGAAACTCAATGAGTTAAACGTAGAGAAAAAGAAGAAGAAGAACAACTGAAAGAACTAAGTACAGAGAATATGCGAAAAAAGTGTCAGAAAAAGCAGCAGAAGTAGCAAAAATGGAACAAGATGTTATAAATTGAAAAACCATACTACTCAATATAAAGTACTGAAAGATGAAGAAATAAAACAAAAAGCCCTGAAGACATATATGGATAGCGATGAGTATAAAAAAGAAGTTGAAGCAAATGTAAAGGCAGAAAAACTTTTACAGTTGCAAAACCAAACCGTACAGTATGAAAACTTAGCACAAGAAAGTAAAAATAACGACGCAGCCATGCAAAAGGCAATGAAAAGCGCAGAATATATAAAGCTAATAATGACTGGTTAGATGCCCAAGCCAACGCTAAAGCAGCCAACTTATAGGTCAATAAGGACAAAAATACACGCGGATGAAGACAGTTCAAATGAAGCTTTAATGAATGCTGACTTTAAGAACGCCTTCGAAGCTCTTCATAGTAAGGTGAAACTAGTGAACGACTTCTCATCTGGAAAGAAACTGAAGTCTGAAGGTTTTGACAAAGAGTTAAGAGAAGTAGCACAAAATATGACGAAAATAACAGATGCAGCAACGAGACAGGCAGTTCAAAGTGCCTATGACGCCGTTAGAGCAACTGTTGTGGAAAGTCAAGAAAAAGAGTTACAACAGACCAAAACAGACCTAGTAAATGCTTTCTTAAAAACGAAAAGTCAGGTAGGACATTATGCTGCAGATGGAACATATGTGCCAGCTGGTGGAACTTATATACCAGCTGGTGGAACTTATATACTAGCTAGTGGAACTTATATACCACCAAACCCTCCAAGAGAAGCACCTGCACCAGGACTACCTAAAACATTTACATCGTCACATGGACACAGACACAGGCATGCACCAAAACCAACACAACAACCAACACAACAACCAACAGTTCAAAATCCAGCACCACAACCAACAGTTCAAAACACTGCACAACAACCACCTCCACAACCAGCACCACAACCAACAGTTCAAAACACTGCACAGCAACCAACAGTTCAAAACCCTGCACAACAACCAACAGTTCAAAACCCTGCACAACAACCAACAGTTCAAAACCCTGCACAACAACAACCACAAACAGAGCAAGGACATAAAAGAAGTAGAGAACAAGGAAACCAAGAATTCTTAAAAATGCTTAAGGAAAATTATGGTTACCCAGATACTCTTGACTTTAGTGACAGATATAAAGAAGCTATTAGAAAGTTCAAGGAAGGAAATACTGACCCGAACCTATTTAGCTTTATGGTTCAGCACCAAATGGGATATAATTTCAAACCTGGAAAATACAAGCTCGCTAAGGGATATGATTTAATAGCATATCATCCAAATGACATGACTGAATTTACTCCGAGATATTTGGTGTCAGAGATAAATGATAATTCAACTATCTTCATGAAACGCGTAAAAAATAGAGACGGAACGAAAGAAGAAAGGGTTATGAATGCGGATGGCTTAAATAGGGAACTTGTTAAAAACGGTCTCGGAATATATGAAATGCCAGCAGATGAGGTACAAGAAACTCCACAGGAAGAAGTTCAGATACAACCAGACATGGAAGAAATAGTTCAGCAACAACAGCTAGAAGAGCCTGAAGGAAACGAACAAATCCCTCCTTTGGAAACTAACTTCACAGAACTAGATGAAGATTTGGAACAGCCGAAAAATCTTGACCCTCAACAAGAGTATGCGGAGAATATGGAATCTTTCCAAGAGTCTAAGAAAAATTCAGCTGACATAGTAGAAGAATATCGAAAAATGTTCGCCGACATACAAAAGACTCCAACATCAGATGAAAATATTCAGCATAGAATGGAAGAACTGAAAGAAAGTGTACGCAAATACAACAATCCTTTTTACTTACGACCATATAACGTTCAATCTTTGGCTGAACTCGGTGAAAATAAAAGGTTAAATTTCACCAAAACATATAGAAATGAAACATTGTTTAAAGTTCATTCAGAACCTAACCAATATGGAAACAAACCTACTTTTGTTTCTGCAGACTATGGAACTACAATGAGATGGGGTCATAAAGCTAATCCGGATAGGTGGTTCATAAACTTACAACCACAATTCCAAGAAGTTGTAGACGCAATGGAAGTGAATGGTGAACCAGATATAGCTGGTATTTTCAGCGCGGCTTTAATGCCATTGAAAGATATGAAACATGCAGATATTTTGGACCAGTATGAAATGAACATGGCTGATGGAAATATAAACACCTGACGTTCTAGAACATTTATCTCAAAGAACTACACAGAACCATAGAGATGGTATATTTGGTGAAGAGTTTAGAAAGAAAGTTAGGGAGATAGAAGGAAGAGAACCTATTGTACATGACCTTGCAAACGAAAGTTTACAAAATGTCATAAAAACTTACTTTGCAGACAATGAACTGAGAAGGGATGAATATTTAAGAAAACTCAAATGGACAGTACCAAATGAAATGTTAGTATTGAAAAACATGTTCCTTGACAAAATAAAACCAACTACAGAAATAAATGACGCAAGACTGAAACATTGGGTAAAGCTTTCCCATTCACAAAAGATATTATTGGTAACATGGAAAGAAAACCAGAATGGCTACAAAACATATATTTGGAAACGAGCTTATTCCATATGGACAAGCTCTGTTTGAAGAGCTTGAACCGGAAACTCAGGAAAGAGTCATGCAAACAATACGCGAAGACTCAAATACAAACTATGACAAAATCTTTCTAGGATATAGGTTACCTGAGATGGGCGACCAGAGCCCAAAGGCAAAAAGGACATGGGAAATTTACAACATACTAGGTGAACATGATGCAAAGATGCAACAACTTGAAGCAGAGGGCAAGTTACCAAAAGCGACACCAAAGAAGAAGAGAAGAGTAGAACAAAGTGAAAGTAGTGAAGAAGTAACTTCATCTAGTGAAAGTAGTGGCAATGAAGGAAAAAGAAGAGTTAAAAACTCAGTCAGGAAGAAAGTAAAGCTTGGTCCGAGTGGGTTCTATTATGAACATAAATCCAACTATTCTATATTTTTACCCATATGAAATGTACGCCGCTCAGAATATAACGCCAACAGTTTGGATGCCATGAACGGAAATGTTTCCGAATGGTATAACGAATGCGACAATGCCATTAGAAGGTCAGAAATAGTTCCTGGAACTTACGAATATACAACTGCTGTTTCTTATGGAAACGTAGGTGAGTTTGGAGAAGGTTCTTCAACAACAGTAGATATTGCTTGCGACAGGTTTCATATTATTTCTATTGACAACTCATTCTTATACGTGGAACAAGACATTGAAATAAAACCTTCTGCCAAGTTGTCTGACAAGAAAGGTTGCAATGGAATTTTCTATGTCGGATACCAATATGCTCCAGAAGTTTTCATGGGATATAAGATATATTCTAACTCTGACTTAGTTCAAACAGTAACATGGGCAAACTATGAATGGTTCGCTTTGAGAAACTCAGTACAACCACAAGCTAGAGAACAAACAGACCAGTATGCAAATATTGAGAAAATAAGAAGACTTGACCCTAACGTTCCAGGAGTTTATGTTAACCTTTCTGGACAAACTGCAGCAGCAGTAACCAAAGTAAAACTGAAACTTAGAGTTCCTTGTCATCTTTCCTCATCTTCAGGTTTTTAAGATACTTGCCAAACGGCAGGAAAAAATTTCTATTGAACTTACTCCAAGCAAAAATAACTTAGTCATTGCACCAACACAAGACCCATTCACTATTACAGACGTAAAGGGAACAAATCAAACGTCATTCGCCGAATTTTGCAAAGACAAAGTTGACTTAGACTTTGGTTTCTCAAACTTCAACAATGAAGTAAACTATTATTTCAATGCTGCTGGAACTGCTTGGACCCAGTTAAGTTCACATGCGAAAAATTTGAATGCAAGAGAATAGAAAGCAGACTTGCAGTCTATATGTTGGACCCAGATATTCAAATGCTTTAGCTGCCAAATATATTGCAGTTCCACTTATGTTCCC